TTTCTCAATTGTCTAATCTGTTTATCTTTCATTTGCAGACGTAGTCCCATATCTGTGGCAGCTGCCGCTATCTATTTGGCATCACAAGCATCAGAAGAAAAGAAATCACAAAAAGGTATTGAAATCATATGAATGAAACAAGTGCTATCAAGTCACTTGCTATATACACTCACAAATTGAAAAAATATATGGTTTTAAAAAAGTTTTCTTTTCCTCTTCTTGTAGAGATTGGTGATGTAGCAGGTGTAGCCGATGTGACTATAAGGCAGTCCTATAGACTCATATTTCCCAAAGCGGTTAGTCTTTTCCCAGAAGATTTCAAATTTGCCACCTCTATTGAACATCTACCTCAGCCATAAAGATTAAACACCAATGACTGGACATGTTTCTTGTTACTCTCATCCTCTGTATTAGAACACTGTCACTGATTGATTACCTCATCATTGTATTCTATTATAGGTGGGGGGGGGTCGATTATCACGATTATTATGTTGTCGTCCTTTTAAACAAGTCTCATGTACACTCATACCTCAAATGGAAGTGAATTGTAAAACAAGAATACAATTACTACATACCCATTTAAGGTTCTTACTTTGAGGGCAAAATTAAACTGATTATAAACTGTATCAATTTCCTTTGAAATATCTTCCACGAAACGTTTGTAAAATGAAAAATGTATCCAGTTCTAATTGTTGTTTTTACCAACGAGCATCCTCAGGCTCGTAAAAATTCTTACGTCCAGGAGCGACAGATTGTTGGCATTGAAAGTGCCAAAGGGGCAACAAACACTGATAAGGAATGTTACAAGGGAAATTGATGAGATATCCTTTTTCTTTAATTAGTTTATTTTGTACCTGCTGTAGCATATTTTCAATTTATGATATCATCTGTTCACAAAGTGACAAAGCAAGTTTGTAATTAACTCAGAAAACTAAAATTATTTTATTGTCAGAAGAAACCCAGAACTATACTCTTGATGAGTAGCATTTTGCATGCTCACATTTTGTCCTCAGTCATGGAGCTGGAAGTACCTGGAGTTGATCGCAAGTTATGTCTCTTCAAAATGACAACTGTAAAAGCATCAATTATTGGCTGGTTCTTAATTTTGCTATTTTTGTTGATAAGTAAAAATTGTTGTCCACATACAACTCATTTTTTCTGTGCCAAGTTTGTGAACATAGAAACCCAGTAAAATGATCAAAATAGCAAAATTTAATATATTTTTTTTCAGTATTAGTTAATCAAAAGTCAATTAGAAGCCGCATACCTAATAGAAGTCGCACCCATTCTTTTTGAACAACTGAAAACAAAAATTCAACATGTGTAGATGCTTTAATAGAAGCCGCATCCCTTCTGGTGTATTGTACCATTTTATAGAAGCTGCGGCTTCTAATACAGATTTTACAGTACTGATGAAGTATATTTTTCAGTGAATTTTGTTTTCAATGAATAATGTTATTTAATTGGATTGTATTCAATAACTTGTTTCTGTTGCACATTGTTTTCTGGGAAACAAATGCACTGATAATGTTAGCATTCATGCAATGTTGAAGGAAGATATTCTTTGAAACTTCTAAGTCTATTATTGGGAATTTTTTATGTACATTCATGTATAATTTGTTGGAAAAAAAAATAATACTTCACAGTCCAGTCGTTTTATTGAGGTCTTATGTGAAACTTATCTAAACCAAAGGAATTGTTCTGTTCAGGTGTCCAGTTTATGTAATGGTATACAGTGAAAGATATAGAAACTGAATGCTTTGGAATACTTAAACTTCTCCATATATAGTTTTTTTATATTAATATATAGAGTTAACCTTTTCATCACCAGACTTTCTCATCCAAATTTGTTCACACTTTTTTCAGATATTTTTCAAAATTTTTAGTTTTTACTCAAAAAAATTTTCTTTTTTTTTTTTTTTCTGAATTTTGACTAAAAATGGGACTAATTTGTGATCCAAAGAAGAAGGAACTAGTGGTGAAATGGAAAGATAACTAACTGGGCTGAAAGTCACTCCTTATCTTTATAGGTGCCTCTACCTCATTGCGAATATGTCATAACTACCAGATCAAGATTGGTTCCCAATCTAATTGGCAACCCTTCTTGTAAATTTGTTATCAATTGGGCAATCCTGATAAAAAAATCACTGAGAGTTGTCAATAACTTTTGAGTTATCAATGAAGAATCATTTCAAAAATTGTTGTTTCTATGACAATTAAATCCATATCTCTTCTGACATTTGGTTATTTTGTCAATAGAAATTTTTTGAAAATATGTCCATATCAACTGATAACACATAATTAATTGAGCATCGGCAAAACATATGCACCTCCTTGGTAGAGGTAATGACGTCCAGAGCAGTTTTAGGTTACAGTAAGCTTTTGTTTTTAATCTCCAGAAATGTTCCTTGCATGGCTAATATTTTAGCAACTTGGCTAATATGACATCTTTGCTATTATATCATTCAATTATTACTACAAGCAGATAAAAGATTTAAATAAGGTTAAAATGAGAACACCGCAAAGTATGCACTCAGGCAGTACAGGATCTCATTGACCTGATCTATGTGGGGGTTGATGTCATCACTGTGCTGCCTTTGTGCATACCTTTCCATATTCTTGCCTTGTACTGTAAAATGACTAATTTTTACTGGGTTTAAATTTTGCTGATTTACCATCTCAGGCATATTCAGTGAGTTTTAAATTCACTGTTTTATCATTTAGATAATGTGTTCTATGCCAAATTTGACATATTCACTGGGTTTTAATTTAGCGCATTTTCCAGTCAACGAAAATTTCCAGTTAGCAAATTTAAACCTAGTAAATAATAATAATATTTAAGCTTTCCAGTGAACTTATCAAAAGTTGTGATAGTTTGTCCCATGTTACTACGGTAATTGTATCATTTTACTCTTGGGAAAATATTCTCATTTTTTTGGGTGAATTTTAATATTTCTGTTTCTTGGGTTTATTTATGCAAGAGTGAAATTACCGGGTATATATAAATGTATTTCTATTGTTTGTGAATTTGTTATTTTTGATGAG